GGCGGCTCCGGCCCTGCCGCGCCCCGGTGCGTGTGCCTTGGGTGTACTTCTCCTCTGGGTTCACGTGCCACTGGCAATAATGACCGTCTCGGGGGATCACCTGAGAAAATGTAAGATCTTCCTCTTGGTACAGGAAGGAAAGACCTTTGGTTTCGTATCTGCCCGTATACATCTCCATCCCACTCCCAGCAGACCCGAGTAGCGGCTGCGGGGCCGGCGACCCGGGACTCCCGCAGGATACTCTTGCCCTTGGCCTCCAAGGCCCTTTGCCGCCGGCCGCGCGTCGGCGCGCATCTCCCGGCACCTCCCGGTAACTCTCACCAGCGGTGAGTCATGTTCCCGGGATGGCTCTGGAGGGAAGGTAAGCCCGACTCCCGCTGGCCAGCGCTTCCCCTCGGCTGTCGCCGGGGCTGCGGGGGGGCGAGCGCGCCCGCGCGCGCGCGCACCGTGTTCCCCGCGCAGTGATGTGGCAGCANGCTGGCCCTGTGCTGGTACCCGTTTGAGACAGGATTAGGAGGGCGGCTTGGAGGTGCCAGCGGTAGTAAACGTGGGCTCTGCACACTCCCGGCGTCCCTTATCGCACGAGGGGGGAGGGGAGAGGAAGCCCGCAGCGCCACCCGGGGCGCCGAGGGGCGGCGAGCGTGGCGGGCGAGCGAAAATGCTGCATTGCTTTTCCGAGGCAGCCCCTCTCGCGCCACGCTCTCCTCTCCCCCCGCCCCCCGCCGCCGCCGCGTTCCTCCGGGAGCACCCGAGTCCCCAAACATCGTCATCTGCTGCTGTGATTAGTGGCACCGCAATTCCGGCTGCTGGGGGAAGTTTGGGTGGCCCAGGGACACTGTGTCGCCAAAAGACACTTGGATTGCGACATTCTGACCCAGTGACATTTTCATTTATATTAAGTCTTTCTGGGAGAGGATTTCAAGTTGTCCCTTTTCGGGGCAACCTCCAACCAAGGCCAAGGGGCCCCCCAAGCCACTGAACGGTGTGCAAACAAGTCTCCAAATTTCCCTTCGGGACTGAAGTTTACCCACCGCAAATTCTCTTTCTCTTTCCTTTCTCTGGTCCAAACCAACAGCACAGTCGGTGGAAAAGCAAAAAGAGCCACGTTCACGTTCCTGCACCGTAATGACGGATGGACTGAGGGAGTCACATTTCCGAGCCGAGGAAGCCCTGGCAGCCCCGCACCCCCGGCACCCCTCTCCCTCCCCCA